ATAGCACTTTCAACTTTAAGGTGCTTGTTGTAAATTTTTTCCCCGTCAGATTATTGCCTTGTTATTACTGGGGCTCGTTGCATTCTTCTGCCTCTCTTTTACTTCTTTTAATCTCTGTACCATCTCTTGCGTTCTTTCTACCTTCGTTTTCTACTAACTCCCCCTTACTTGTCTGTAACTCCAACTTCTTCGCTTTCCTTTTATCACTAGCGAGAAAAGTTGTACTGTTTTCAAGTAATAATTTTTAGCAAATGATTCAGCCCTGCACATCTCATCCCAGTAGCAACATTAGCGACTTCACAAATAAAAGAACTTCTTAGGGACAATTGTAAAATATATTGGAAATGCCAATGACTCCATGTAATTAAGATACGTTGTAATTGAAAGGAAATAAAATAGAAAAAATGAGGAAAAATGATAATATGTATACGCTGGGATGGGAAATGTTATTATTTGGCGTATATAATTTGTCAACATTTCGTTTTCCATTTTATACTAAGTATATCTATCGGATATACTCTATATTGCTTAGAGCTTGTCACGTTCTGGGGTCTATTTAAAAAATTATGTTAATGCCGATTTTGTTTTAAAACTCGATAAACAGATTCTACAAAGCATATCATTCTACTGGGGCAGTATATTCAGCACTCTTATTCTTTGTATACAGGCTTCACCGAAATAACCAAGCCTCGACCAACAAGTCAAAATTAAGTATTACAAATAAAGACATAAACCTGTCTCTCTCAACCGCCACTTAGGGCTCTTTCAAAACTAATAAATTAATATACACCTTTTCCATGAGTATTTCTTTTTGACACCATTTTTTTTCTTTTTTAGTTATTTGTACGAGGAAATAGTGGTGAGCGAACTACTCAGAGTACCCAAATTCTTACCTAGCTAGGACCAATCTTGTGGAAAGCTAGAATCTTGAAGAACTGTGTGGCAAGTGCGAACTGTAATCTCGAAAATGGAATTATCACCAATTGGAGTCCTCTATATCCACATGCACAGAAACAATCCTGAATATTATATTGACTGAATGTTCAATGTGGTGAATTATTGTGTAAAATTATAATATTATAATTTAGTTAATGTTAATTCTTCCAATCATTTATAGACTCCTCCCTGCGTTGCTGTTTATAATTGTTTAATTTGTGAAACATGAAGTTGCATAGTCGGCAAATAAAAAGAATCTCAGTTCCTTATAAAATTTAAAAATTTCTTTCATTTTTCTGCATACATAAGACACTGTCTGGTGAGATAGTCAAGGAATTTATTAATAACGGTAGTCGATTTGACTTGTTTGTAACTTGAAAGTCAAAAACACATAGATATATATGTTATACTGGATATAAAACAATCATAAAGTGACCAGTTGACTATTTTAGATACTTGTTTTAGTGTATAGATGGTACTGACATTGTCTTTGAATGTTCCTAAAGCTATGCACGTGGTGTTAAATAGTCTGGGTATTTGAATTCATATGTTTGACATAGAACAACTATCAGAAAACGTATCCATATCATTGAATTAGTAAATGTTTGGTTCATACTTTTAATATGACAAGTTGTTTTAATTTCCTTGGTGATTCTTTTTTTCATAATCTTTATAACATATAACTTAAGCAATAGGACCTGTTCTTGCTTAAAGATATGAACAACTAGTATTATGGGGAATTGATCGAAATTTCCTGATGAAAAACGTCAGCCTAAACACTCCTCAACCATATTTATTTTTCATTAATTACTGATCCAGCTAATGAACATCCAACTACTCTACGTTTACTACATTTGATCAAATCAACAACAAATCTTTAAATGAAATTCTACCGTTCATGCTTTCAATTATTCCTCTCATTTTCTCAATCGATCCATTTTCAATTTAATATTTTTCAAAGTTTTGCTCGTAAATGGGTTCTCAGTTCAGATCAAAACCTCAAATGGAATGCCCATTAAAAATTGAAATTTTAATCACGAAGCAGAATCATTAAGGTACGTGCTTATCAGAATATATTATCACACCAGTCAATGTCAGCCTTCGTACAGCTACGGCCATATTTAGTCTTTTCGCAAGACAAGAAGTCATTTCCATATCCGCCTTGAGATATAAGACTATTTAGTAAGTGCTGCAGGAAACACTTTCAAAAGCTTCCAGAATTTTTAGACTTAAGCTTGAGAGAGAATTCTTATGAAAATGAATGGAGCAATATCCAAACCACGTGACCTTGTAAGATCATTACCTCTTTATTAAAAGTATGAATTCTGCCCATGCCTTCAGCATAACTTGATTTAGCGAAATTGACAATTCAGTATGTTTGGCCCAAAAGTACTTACTCAAGATGAGAATACATTTTCAAAGAATATTAAATGTCCTATTACTATAAATACCTAGAGGCCGTATAGTATATGATATTCAGCTATGCGTGTGCATTTGTGAACAGGTTTTACCTCACATAAAAAAATTACTACTATAGTAATAGGTACAGTGGATTATTTATTTATGACAACACATTGATCAGATGACCAGTTAAAGGAAACAACACGAATACACAATTCATGCCCACGTAAAATCGTTCTGCTGCATAAATGTTTCATTCATCATTATTAGAGTGACATATACCAGAACATCAAGAAGCTAATATTGACTTTTTAATAATGGTATTTATGAATGTGACCAGTTACTATTAATAGAACTGTGTATTCTTCTAAAATAATACTAATATTGACTGAAAATCAATTTGTTTACTCAGCAGAAGGAGCAATCTGAGTTCCCCCAATCGATCACTTTTTTGACCCTGATCCCCAGTTTCCCTTGATCACTTTGAGACCGAAGCTAAGCTGCCTGTATGATAATTCTGAATATATGTAAACTTCCATTAACTGTGCGAAATAGGTTGGTGAAATGTAGTTATTTCAAACAATAAAACTCGTTTCTCCGATGCCTACTATCCGGGCCCTATGAAATTTCTAGTTTGTCACGAAGAGACTAACTGAATGAGGTACAAGTCATCAATTTTTTTGAGTGGATTGGTGCCTTTCTTAAATGGTTTTTATTACGTGGACTAATATTTTCTTACATAATTCTTGCCAAAACCGCTCTTGCACCTGTATTTCATAATAAATTAATTGCATAGGGTTAAGGTTAGAGATCCCATAATATACGAAACACTGTACAGAATACACCCTATCTCCTAGAGTACATCAACATACAGGTTTTGAACTGTGTTACATGACTTTAAACAAGTAAATAGACATTCTCAGGA